GAAAAGCTCGGCGTGGAGGACATGCGCATCCTTAACCACTTGCACGAGCCTGCCGTGTTGAAGAAGCTGCAACTCCGCCACGGACAATTCAGCCATCGGTAAGTCCAAAGTGTACTTTAGCTCCTGGCTGTTGCAGCATTTGGAAGACCAGCGCGCCGTTGTCTTGCGGACCCAGTGTTCTCGGCTTGGCCTCGATGTTGACTGCACGTGCGAATGTGTGTGCAGCCGAGCAATGGTCCTGGTTTGCCAGGATGACAGGATTATGTTCCAGGGTCCTAGCGTCCGGATGCTGTACTGCATTGAGTGTGTAAGTAGGGGACGGCACTACTGACTGCGAAGTGAGGGAGGTAGCTTGGTAATGAAGTCACTTTTGGATTTGTCATCGAGGTCGCCGTTGTGAACACGGCAAGCCGTCGGTCACGAACACCGGCGCAAGACAACACCCAGGTACGATCTTGTTTCAGACCCGCGTTCGCGGGTGGGTGGCCGGCCGCAAGTTCCGTGTCGCGTTGGCTAAGGAACGCCAGCGCGTCCCCGAGGCCAAGACCCATGCAAATGCGAAAGCAGCAGCGGAAGCGGCTGCAAGGTCAGAAGACAAGAAAAGGTTCGGGCCCTGCACAAAGCCGACGCTTCACGCCTCCAATCAAACCAAGCAGATGAAGATGAGCCAGTCGACACCAGCTCCGAAGGCAGCGACGGAGAGCGCATGTCTTCAGGGTCGCAGAACATTCTGGCGTCTGCGGCCGCCCGTGTCGCCGAAGCCGCCGTTGTGGAGACCCAAAAGGCCGCCATGGCGGCACTCACGCACAATCGAGTCATCCAAGCCGAGAACGAGGCGCTGCGGCCAACATGGCGGCGTATATCGTCGAACACGCCGGCACCGAACTGCTGCGCGAAACCGAACGGCTCAAGTACCAAGTGCTTACGTTGCAGAGCAAGCTGGTGTGGGCGCAGGAAGTGTAGTTGGTGTCGGCCAAGGTTGTCGACAGTCGGTTGACATTCCGCGAAGGCCGGCAGTTTTTCGAGTACAAGCTCCAGATCGAAACCAACAACCCACTCCACACGAACAGTGTGCCGCGGTTGTTGGTTTCGATCTGGTGCTTGTACTCGACAGTGGCATCGATACAAGACGTTTCGAATATTTGGGGCGACGCTCCAAACCAAGAACGGGTTCCGCCGCAAGGACATCCCGGACTTGCCCAACAAGCAACTGTTTGGGTCGGACAGATCGATCCAAGAACGTATCGGCAAGCTGAACCAGTTCCTTGAAGCGGCGACCAACACGGACTGCTTGCCGTGGGGCGTCCGCGTCGACCAGGACAAGTATGTGTACAAGTGCCGCACGCGGAGCTCGTCTTGCGCTGAACGAGACTCCATGTCGGTGCGTACTGTAGTACAGATGTGGGAGACAGCATGGTGTCAACCGTCGCGTCGTCATCGGATATGCAGTCTCCGCGCACCTCGTCTCGACAGTCTGTGTCGTTGCGTGAATCGATCGTTGGTGGACGCAAGTCGTAAAACAAAACTTTATGTGGGCACGTATCGTTTTAATCAAGGCAAAGTAGCCGTCCTCCGGGTCGTACTCGGCACCGTCCGCGACGTACCGCACTTCCACTTGCGTGTCCGACACCTTCTGAATGATCTGCGCCTTCTTCCACACCTCCGCGTCGTGGGGCACCAACCCAAGGGCGTCCATGACGTCTCCCCGAACGCTGCTGCCATCAATGCCTTGATCAGGGGTAGTGAATACATAGACCGAGTACGAGTATA